ACCATCCTCATCAACACGGTGAAACCCCGTCTCTACTAAAAATACAAAAAATTAGCTGGGCATGGTGGTGTGTGCCTGTAATCCCAGCTACTCAGGAGGCTGAGGCAGGAGAATTGCTTGAACCCAGGAGGCGGAGGTTGCGGTGAGCCGAGATCGCGCCATTGCACTCCAGCCTGGGTAACAAGAGCGAAACTCTGTCTCAAAAAAAAAAAAAAAAAAAAAAAGTACATGCAAGACTACTCAGACCTAATTAAGTTAGAGCAAGCTCACAATGGTAAACAAAGCCTCATTTCATTCTGCCCTTAAGAATTTATTTTCTTTTTCTTCCACGTCTTGCCCATTCTAACCCAGCTTTACAGTTCCATGGGTTAAGGAGAGGAGAGATTTCTTTTATTGAAATATACTTTTATTGAAAACTCTTGGTAATATGATGAAACATCAGCAGTGAAAACAAAGGCAAAAGCAAACGGAGAGACAGAGAGGCCTTCTGAGCCGAATGGCTGAAACCGCCATTGCAGAATATCGCTAGGAGGATTGTTGTGGTGAAAGAGGTCTGACCTAACTGACTCTATCTTGCTTCCAACCTCCAAGATGTCCTTGTTCTATTTTCGGCATAGGGTGAATTAACTTTGGGAGGAACTGACAGTTTAACTTTGAAACACAGCATTAACAGCCCTTTCCCAAAACAAACCCCTTCTTGCCTGTGGACTAGACTGCCTTTGCAGGATAACAAATTCACCACAAAATTATAAATTATGGTTTGAAAGTCATGCAGCTGGATGCTACAAAATTCTGACTCTCCCCAAATTGCTCCTGGAGATAACATCATTATTATAAAACCTAAGATTAGTGCTTGAGATATTTTGTAGAATCTATACCTGATGGATCAGCTGGCATCACCCAGATAGATAAACTGGCTCATCAGGTCTTGTGGTCCCCACCCAGGAACCAACTCGGCACAAGACAGCTTCTACTCCCTATGATTTAATCTCCAATCCAGCCAATCAACACTCCTAACTCACTGCCCCCTACCCACCAAATTTTCCTTAAAAACGCTGATCCCCGAATGCTCCGGGAGACTGATTTGAGTAATAATGAAACTCCCATCTCCCATACTGGCCAGCTCTGCATGAATAACTCTCTCCATTGCAATTTCCCTGTCTTGATAAATTGGCTCTGTCTAGCCAGCGGGGCAAGGTTGAACCCACTGAGCAGTTACAAGGCTATTGTACCCATTCCTGAAATAATGTGTTGCCAGCCTTGAGCTATGGGACATACTCGAGTTTATTTTCTGGATGTTTGCGAAGCACAGCTAACTCAGGGAGGAGCCGTATGTCATTATCCAGAATCCATTCTAGAGGTAATCTAGAGGTTTTTTTCTTTTTCTTTTTCTTTTTTTCGAGACGGAGTCTCAGTCTGTCACCCAGGCTAGAGTGCAATGGCACAGTCTTGGCTCACTGCAACCTCTGCCTCCCAGATTCAAGCAATTCTCCTTCTTCAGCCTCCCGAGTAGCGGGGGTTACAGGCATGCACCACCATGCCTAGCTAATTTTTGTATTTTTAGTAGAGATGGGGTTTCATCATGTTAGCCAGGCTGGTCTGGAACTCCTGACCTCAGGTGATCCGCCTGCCTTGGCCTCCCAAAGTGCTGAGGTTAAAGGTGTAAGCCACCGGGCCTGGCCTCTTTTGCTTGTTTTTTTTTAAAGGTAGAGTCTTGCCCTGTCATCCAGGCTGGAGTGCAGTGGCGTGATTGTAGCTGACTGCAGCCTACAACTCCTGGACTCAAGGGAATCTACTTCTGCCTCCCAAGTAGCTGGAACTACAAGCACATGCCACCACACTTGGCTAATGTTTTTTAAATTTTTTGTAGAGATGGGGTCTAGTTTTATGGCCTAGGCTGGTCTCAAACTCCTGGCCTCTAACAGTCCTCTCACCTTGGCCTCCCAAAGTGCTGGGATTATAGGCTTGAGCCACTGTACCCAGCCCCTAGTTTTTCAAATTTTTATGAGGGTGTTGTTCTCAAACAGGAATTCAAACCAAAACAGAAAATTTATGACATGATGTGGCTAATCCATGAAGCAAAGGTATAGTTCCACAGAGCTAGAAGAAAACTTGCTGAGGGTTTATAAAGCATGAAACCAAATATATTTATACCAATTACTGTTTTGAGGGGAGATTTTATTATTGACTACTTTGAGCTTTTGTTCAATTTGAAGGATAAGAGTTTTTGTTCAGGTGCTTTTGTTCAAGCTATTACATGGGAGATGGTCTTGCAGAGAGCCTTCTAAAAACAAATTTCAATTTCAAGGGAAATGAAATAGTAGTATTAACATCAGTGCCATTTTTTTTTCTTCTTTGAAACCCTGAAACATTTTTATTTTTTGAGACAGAGTCTCACTCTGTTGCCCAGGCTGGAGTGCAGTGGTATGATCTCAGCTCACTGCAACCTCTGCCTCCCAGGTTCAAACAATTCTCCTGCCTCAGCCTCCCAAGTAGCTGGGCTTACAGGCACACGCCACCACACCCAGCTAATTTTTTATATTTTTGGTAGAGACAGCGTTTCACCATGTTGGCCAGGCTTGTCGTGAATTCCTGACCTCAAGTGATCTGCCTGCCTTGGCCTCCCAAACTGCTGGGATTACAGGCATGAGCCACTGGGCCTGGCTTGAAACTTTCTTTTTAATCTCAAAACAACATGGGAATATTTTTGCCATTACATATGCTTAACTTTTATATACTAAAAACTTAACTCAAAAGCGTCATTAAATGACATTTTATTGCAAATGAAAAATATACAAACATTTAAGATTTATACAGTTTCTAAAATGAACAGCATAAACATGCAAAATAAAAGGCTTCATGAACAGTTTATTCAAAATATTTGAGAACATTTCATATATTCATATATTTTCCACAGAGCTTCACTGGAAGGGGAAAATAGCATTTAGTTCAGTTTTTTCTGGTTTTAAGAACAATATTTGGAAAAATTTTGTATTGGTGTTGAGATAGTAGGATGAATTCACTTCCACTTGCATTATTTAAAATGAGATAACTTGAAAAATTGATAAAAGGTAAATGTATAAAAATAGGCATTCAATGGTCCTTAAGTCTCTAGTGGCAAGACTGTAAAAATTCAAATGTTGATTCAAAGAAAACTAAATTTTACTAAGTCCTTATAATCAGGCATAATGCCAGGTGCTTTCCATGTATTTAATACTTTAAAAGACGTGTTAATTTCAATTGTTAAATCTAAAGGGTCTTATGAAAATTGTGCAATCTGAACTTACAATAAATAACCATTGACCTAAGAATAAAATTGTAAGACAAAAATAAAACATATTTTTACAGAAGTAGGAAAATCTTTCCATTTGTCCTGTGTGAGCACAGCTTTGTAATCCTTAATGACACACATGCAGATATTCACACAATAAATCTTTTTTTTTTTTTTTTTTTTTTTACTGTTAATGGCTGTTGAAATTTTTTTTTTCTTTTTTTTTTATTGCATTTTAGGTTTTGGGGTACATGTGATGAACATGCAAGATTGTTGCATAGGTACACACATGGCAGTATGCTTTGCTGCCTTCCGTCCCCTCACCTGTATCTGTCATTTCTCCCCATGCTATCTCTTCCCACCTCCCCACCCCCCGTCCCTCCCCCATTTCCCCCCCAACAGACCCCAGTGTGTAGTGCTCCCCTCCCTGTGTCCATGTGTTCTCATTGTTCAACACCCGCCTATGAGCGAGAATATACAGTGTTTGATTTTCTGCTCTTGTCACACAATAAATCTTAAGAAATCTACATGATGACAAAGTATTAAAATATATACATAAACTACCAGTTAAGACTAATAGTCTGACTATAGGGGTCCAGCATTTTATTCTTCCTTAGTCAATATTTTCATATTTGGGAAAATATTTTTTAGTGTCAGATTTGCAATAATATTTTGGTTTTTTAATGCATGTGCCCATCAGTGACTTTTATGTAGACAGTTTTCAAATTTTTCATTGTTTCTCAGCATATTTCAATCATTAAATCTTTCCCAGTCATCCTCCTGGGCATGCATTCACGTCAACACCAGTTCATTTTCCCATCTAACGTACACATTAAGCCTTGTGTCTGGGAACCTTTGACCTGGTCATAACGTACCAAGGGCAAACACCTTGTAAAATGTGACACAAAGAAATGCCTGAAACCTTAATTTACCAGAACAGAGAACCACCAGAGTCTCAGGTTGGATGTCATGAAAAATGCCATTAATTTCCTCACCAAGAAGGTGTCCTAGAGAGATCAATAAAGTTCTTAATACTAAAAGAAAAAAAAATTAATTTCTGCAATTTTCAAATGCAACCTTAACAGAAGATACTTTTTTGGGTCAGGGTCTCTTGTCACCCAGGCTGGAAATCATAGCTTACTGTAGTCTTGAACTCCTGGGTTCCAGTGATCCTCCTGACTCAGCCTCTTGATATTTTTTACATTTTTTAAGAGAGATAGGGTCTAGCTTTATTGCCCAGGCTGGTCTCAAACTCCTGGAGACTAGCAATCCTCCTACCTCAGCCTCCCAAAGTGTTGGAATTACAGGTGTGCGCCACTGCCCAGCCAGAAGATACTTTTCCTACAAACTTGTGTTCATAGCTTATACATCTGATATACAAGTAAAGTGAAACAGCAATCAACAGAGTAAACACGTACTTGACCTGAGGTATCAACCTATGGATGTTCCATGGATTATCGATTTTCAAAAATTTAGAAGGTGTTAGAATTGCACTCAACACTAAACTATGGAAAAGACTATAATGGCACATTAAGACCTTGCAGCCATGTCAGGTAGGTTGTCATCCTGAACATTAGTCATAGTTTAATAGACCTGTGGAAATGCTGATCAAATTCTGAATAATAAAGATTACCATTATGACCTTGGGCAGTCTTGAGCTAGCTTAGAAACAAAAACCGAACCTAGTAACATTTAAGGTTAGAGCAGAAAAAAATTCAGTCAACCTGAATTTTTTTAATGACAATCTTTTTAGTTAGAATTCTTGAGAAAAATAAGATTAGTATAAAAATAAGATAGACAATTTATTTTCGATAAAATTAGTGACAGTAAATCTGTCCATTACATTAAAGACCACCAAAAATGTTATTCCTTGCATGCATTTGAAATGAGAGAGGAAAATTGTATAAACATTTTAATGTGCAAAAGGTATTTTCCTGCAGTAGCCACTGAGGTCTTGGTATTTTGCTTGCTAGGAAATTGACTTTCTATCCTATTCTATACCTATTTTTAATAGTTAGTAACTAATCATAATTTCCTTAATAAGGGTGGAAGTACCAAACTTCAAGAGAGCCATTATGATAATTTGTTCAGATTTTTCACAAAGATTTTTCTAGTTGTTTCCAAACAGTCTGTGGAAAACTCACCCTTTAGGGATCAAACATTTGTGAACAATTGAAATATAGGATATAATCCTAAAGTAATGTAGCAATCTTTTACAAAAATCTCTGTATCAACAAGAAAAAATAACCTTTAGGATAATAGTAAAAGCAAGGGAAAAAAATGAACATAAGTGACTCCAAAGCTGAATTCACCTGACTTCTACAGAAACTCCATTTTGTCTTATGTCTTCCAGACTTGAGTTAATTAATGGAAGCTGTGAAAACAATCGCATGTGCCTGTGTTTTTTGTGAGAAGATAACTGTTTCCTTTTTCTGAGGTCTGAAGTATTTTTCTCTTCCTCCGTTCTCCCTCTTTAATTGGTAGTAAATTCCTATGATATGGCAATAAGTTAGAATTCATACGCTCTTCATGGGTGTGTGTGTGTTGTGTATTCTAGCCCACTAACAAAGCAGGCTTTTTTTTTTTTTAATTTCTTTTTTCTTAAAATAACTGTTTAGCTATATAGTTTTAGAAGAAGGAAGGTGCAGAAGGGAGAACAAAGCACCCGTGATCTCACTTCTCATTTTAAACAAATTTTTTAAAAGCAAAAGCCCCTGGCCCTTTTTTTTCTTCTTCTTCTTTGAGACAGGGCCTTACTTTTCACCCAGGCTGGACTGCAGTGGTGCAATCTGGGCTCACGGCAGCCCCAACCTCTCAGACTTAAGTGATCCTCCCACCTCAGCCTCCCAAGTGGTCGGGACTACAGGCATGTGCCACCTGGCTAATTTTTATGTTTTTTGTAGAGACAGAGTCTTGCTTTGTTGCCCCGGGCAGTCTTGAACTCCTGAGCTCAAGTGATCTGCCTGCCTCAGCCTCCTAAAGTGCTAGGATTACAGATGTGAACCACCGTGCCTGGTCTCTCTTCTCAGTTTAAATAATTTAAAATTATTACTCAAGAGAGAATATGGCTGATACTGCATGTAACAGAACACTGCTAATTTTATATTAGTGAATGACTGTGAGTCTAAAAAGAGCCACCAAAGAAATGAAGAGCCACCTGGCAGAGACAAATATATTGTGACCAGAAGAAGGAGATTATTCTGAGACACACATAGCTCTTTAACTTCTTTGATCCTTAGGGGTAATTTCAAAGTTTGTAGAAATGAAAAGCAGCAGAAGTCTTCTGGAGGATAATCAATTTGATTTTCAAATTCATGGCCCAAAAGATGACATTTTTACTTGGCCTCACATCTAAATTAGTTAGAACTGTAAAAATCCTAGCTTTCCTAGCAGTTCTTCCAAGAAGCAAGCACTCATTTTCTTCTTCATGTGTCTCATAGTGGTTAAAACTCAGTGTTTCTAGAGCCTTCAGTCATCAGTTCTGCTAAACAGGGTAATGTCATCATTGTATCCTGGGGCTGAACACTCCAAGTTCTCTAGTAAAACATAATTGTTTTCACTGACATTCAGAGAGACGACTTCTTTCTTAGCGGTAGATGTAAGCTCGCTCCAAGTAATGTCAGTGTTTTTAAAAGCATGTAGAAGGAAGATGCCAATGATAATAGTGAAGAATCCACTAAGGGTCCCAATGATATCTCCAGCTGTCATGCCATACCACTCTTGGAATAAGACAGCAGAGCAAGTCACTACCATGGATGTGAAGAATACATAATAAATGGGTGTCACGAGAGAGGTATTAAAGGTGTCCAGTGCCTTGTTGAGATAGTTAATCTGTGTAGTTACTGAAAGTACAAGTACAGCCAGCAAAACAAAGACCAGGGGATGTTTGTAAACTGGCTTCCATTCTATCAGCTCCTTAATGGCAATTCCCAGGCCTTTGACAGAAGAAACTGAAAACGCTCCAATCAAAGAACAGATTGAAATATAGATCAGTATATTGGTCTGTCCTTTCTTGGGAGCCACAATCAAAATCAGCACCAAGGAGATCACAGTTATGATCACAGCGAAGGAAATAAACCCTGTTAGGAAGATAAAATAATTTGACTTCAGAAAATGCTCACAGGATTATACCTTTCTGAAATCTTGTTAGTCATGAGTTTAAGAGCATAGGTATTTTAGAAATAGAAGTGAGATCAAATTTAAAACAACATTCTATTGCATAGTTTTCAATATTTTACAAAGGACTTTCACAAATACTTAAATCTCACCAACACTATGAGCTAGGGCAGATATTATCAGATTAACTTTTTATTTTCAGAGGAAGAAAGTGGCAAAGATTTGATTTTGAATACATGTCTTTTGCCTCTACCATCCCTCCCTCTCCCTTTGGTTGTGTAAAAGGGGAAGCATGAACACAAAAGTAAGTTCTGCCATCTTTTCAGGAGAAATAGTAATCAAACCTTACTGTTTCTCACAACCCACAACATGGCTTGTAGAAAGCTTATTGCAATATTATTACAAATACTATTTGGTGAGGAGAGAAAGTGAAGCAGAATTTGAGTGTTTCTTTAGGTTGAACCACAGACCTGGATCTCTCAATTTCATTTCCATTTCATGCAAAGAAGTGACTTCCTCTTCTTGTGGGGCATGGATAACCATCACAGTTGACCCCAATATGCTTAATACGCAGCCTATTTTCCCATGAATGTTCAAGTGCTCATTTAAAAAGTAGGAAGATAATATCGCACTGTTGGGAGAGAAAAAAATTAAAGATCACTCTAGTTCAATTACCTTTTGATCCCACGGCAACTCAGAAGTCATACTGGTGGTACAGGCCACCAAGTATCCCAGTGAGCTGGCTGGAATATGCTATATGACATGGAAAAACCTAGATTGGTTTGAAACTCAGAACTGACGGGCAATCAAATGTGCTTCATTTTTTTTAATATCTAAAGAGCTATAATATATATCTTCATAATCTTCCAATGACCTTATAAGAGGTTCTACTCAAGTCATTTTCAATTTTTCCATCTTTTCCTATAAAGCCAAGCAAAACAGAAAATCTTTTATATCTTACTGGCATGATACATTTAGAATATGTATGCCCATGGATGTTTCAAAGGAAGATATATTCCTAAAGAAAAATTACTCTTCCCAGGGCTAATAATCAGCTAGTTCATATCACTACAACCAAACAGACCACGGGTGTCCAATGTTTTGGCTTCGCTAGGCCACACATTAAATATAATAACACTGCCAGGCACGGTGGCTCACGCTTGTAATCCCAGCACTTTGGGAGGCTGAGGCAGGCAGATCACCTGAGGTCAGGAGTTCGAAACCAGCCTGACCAACATGGAAAAACCCATCTCTACTAAAAATTGAAAAAAAAAAAAAAAATCAGGCATGGTGGTGCATGCCTGTAATCTCAGCTACTGGGGGAGGCTGAGGCAGCAGAATTGCTTGAACCCAGGAGGCAGAGGTTGCAGTGAGCTGAGAATGCGCCATTGGACTCCAGCCTGGGCAACAAGAGCAAAACTCCATCTCAAAAAGAAAAGAAAGAAAAAAAGAAAAAAATACGCTAACACTAATGATAGATGATGAGCTAAAGAAAAAAATCACACACACACACAAATCTCACATTGTTTTAAGACAGTTTACAAATTTATGTTGGGCCATGTTCAAAGTCATCCTGGGTCACATGCAGCTGGTGGGCCGTGGGTTGGACAAGCTTAATATAGACTTTCAAAATATCAAAATACTTCCTTACCACCTGCTACTGCTCTGATACTTAGACCTATTTGGTACTCCTAATGCTTCAGTTGCTGTGGCCTCAGGAAACTCCAGAATCACACTGCCATGGACACCAGAGTATACCATCTTGCTGCTCCACCAGTGTGCTTACTGTGGCTTCTGCGCACCAGCCTTCTTCCTCTAATGCCCTGGCATCCCCATGAAGGCAATCAACTGCCCATCTGTCCCCAAGATTATGATCAATTACCAGGTACTTTCCTAGCATTGCCCTCACGTGGCCACTTGTAGGACTGCAGCCTTAGTGAAGACACGACTATTACTACTACTGATACTAGCACTTCACTGCAGAGTCAAGTGTTCAAAGGGCTTTATTCACTCACTTAATTCTCCCAACAATCCTATAAAGAAGGTAAAAAGAATTGAGTAGGCTCAATAATAAGTTTTCTACAAGAGGTGGATAATGAATAGAAAAGAAAAAGACAAGAGAAGAACAGGCAAAATTCATTTGGGATCATAATAAAGATAAACTCAGAAGGATTAGATCCACATTCTATGAAATAAGAAAGTTATTTCTGTTTCCAGTACTAAAACTAAGTATCTAGCAAACAATGAAAGAATTTTAGTGAGAGTTGGAATTTAACCAAAACACTGTGCTTTTAAAAGTCCTCTGATAACTATGGTCATTAACCACTATGGACTCTGGCAATTTGTTCTGATGGCAGATTTTAAAAAATCTGCTATGCTTCACTGCATTGTTAAAAATGTAGCACACATTTATGTTAGTAGGAAATCAAACTCACTGTGTCTTGGGTTTTGAAAATAATGTGACAGTTGATGTCCTATTTCTACTGTTATTTATTTTATAGTCTTCTCAAGTTATTTTTGTGATTTCAGGCAAGAAAAAGGATTATTCTCACTTTATGAATGAGTAAAATGAGGCTAAGTGACTTGTCCAAAGCCTCCCAGGAATGTCAGAAATAATTTGGGTTCATCTAGACTTCTAGATTTGCGTGTTTGCTTTCACATAGCCATAGTCGTATGTTTCTTATGGTTTAAGTTTATCTTGGTCTTAAAATACCTCTAGAAGCCAAGTTCCTCATCATCGCTCACATACCTTATGAGAACACTCAGAGCGCCCAGCGGGGTGACCAAGGTGGCAGGTGCAAAAGCATAAGCAGCAAAATTCGCAGCCTCTCCTGTTCCCACTAGACAGCAAGCAGAGATACTGATATTAAAAATGGGCTCACTTGTCAGAAGAGAAAAACAAATGACTCATGCAAAGCAGTGGACTTGTAACCCAAATACATGGGAAGATCTAGCAAAAAAGAATGATGTCACTTGTTTTACAGCAGGTAGGGATAATTGCTATGAAGAGATGCAGACAAACTGTAATACCAGGTGATACAAACTCAATCGATGCAAAAAGTGGTGACAGATGAGTATCCACTTTAAATGGCTTTCAACAGAGATTTTTTAGCTACTTCAATATTGAAGACATATTTGGTGACTCTGATGAAATCTAGTAGAGGTAGCTTTGTAGTAGGCAGAGAATCATTTCACTTACTCAAGAATACCCATAGTTTTGTAGGTTACCCACAACCAACAAAACCGGCTTGGAAAATTAGAATGCTTTAATCTGGTGTGTAGGTAGGGAATAGCTATAGCCCCATAAAGTTAGATATCCCTCTAGTGCAGGCGTCCCCAAACTACGGCCCGTGGGCCGCATGCAGCCCCCTGAGGCCATTTATCCGGGCCCCTCCCCTCCCCTCCTCGCCGCACTTCAGGAAGGGGCACCTCTTTCATTGGTGGTCAGTGAGAGGAGCACAGTATGTGGCGGCCCTCCAACGGTCTGAGGGACAGTGAACTGGCCCCCTGTGTAAAAAGTTTGGGGATGCCTGCTCTAGTGTATATGGTCTACAAGCAAGTAACAGTATATCAGTAGCTTAAGGAGATCCGCGCAGCTGTTTTAAAGTCATGATATGCTCCTGAATGTAATCATTTTCTCATTAGAGGAACTCTAGACTTGCATGAGATAGCATGCTTTAAATAACTTCTAGAGTTAGAGAAATCCCTTCAAGAACTGGGCTCTTGTACTGAGGCCAAGTTATTCTCACAGAACACAGCTGGAAACTTGCCCACAGAATGTAGTATTTCATGCTGGCAACTACACCAGCAAATGCTTCTTTGTACCGTTGTCTGGCTGCGATGCTACATCCCCACAAATCTATAGGAGTACGCAGCATTAGGGAAACATCATTAAGCAAATCTAAACTTATAGAATAATTAAGACATTGCTCTCATAGAAAGAACCATGGCAAGGCCAGGCTCAGTGGCTCACGCCTGTAATCCCAGCACTTTGGGAGGGAGAGGGGGTGGATCACTTGAGGTCAAGAGTTCAAGACCAGCCTGGCCAACACGGTGAAACCCCATCTCTACTAAAAATACAAAAGTCAGGCAGGTGTGGTGGCAAGCACCTTTAATCCCAGCTACTTGGGAGGCTGAGGCAGGAGAATCACTTGAACCCAGGAGGTGGAGGTTGCAATGAGCTGAGATCACGCCACTGTACTCCAGTCTGGGTGAGAAAAGCAAGACTCTTTCTCAAAAAGGAGTGAACCATGGCAGTTTTCTTGGAATATTAAGATTTCCTTGGATACTTTACATAACTTATATTTTTATCTTTATAGATAGCTTTCCAGGAAAACATCAACTTCATGATTAAAGTACTGTATATATATCACTTACCTACTCTCCAACGTATGCTTTTCTCCCTTCAATACTGATATAAACTTTTTAACACAGAGAAAATAAAATTGCAAATGTAGTCATATAATATTCTACTTATATTTTCATTGCCAAGTGTGGGTAGAAGGTGGGGAGATGCAAGTAAGAGAGAAAAAGAGAATGATTCAAATATCTATCTGGAATCTTCCCAGACAGCCCTTGTCAATTTTTATTCAAATAAAAATGTATGTAAAGGCACCCTAAAAACTGAAGGGGCAGTTAGGTGTGGTGGCTCATGCCTGTAATCACGGCACTTTGGAAGGCTGAGGTGGGCGGATTACCTGAGGTCAGGTGTTTGAGATCAGCCTGGCCAACACGGTGAAACCCCATCTCTACTAAAAATACAAAAATTAGGTGGATGTGGTGGTGTGTGCCTGTAATCCCAGGTACTCTGGAGGCTGAGGCAGGAGAATAACTTGAACCTGTGAGGTGGAGGTTACAGTGAACCGAGATCAAGCCATTGTACTCCAGCCTGGGTCGCAGAGCAAGACTCCATGTCAAAAACAAAAACAAAAACAAAAACAAAAACAAACAAAAAACAACTGAAGGGGCTATACATATTTAAATTATTTGTATTAATCAACCTTTTAGATTCCACCATTTACTAAAGAAAAAGTACCCAGTTCCTTCCCATAACAGGATCTTAAAAATACTGAAATGTGTTGCTTGGTTTGGGTAAATTCAAGGAAGCTTTAAGACTTCTGGCCACAGAGGGAATTTATGATGCCCTTTTGGGGGAGAGCTTTCCATCTGGGATTTAAGAAAGTTCATACGACTTAGGAGGGAGAACGAGTCAGCAAAAGTGGCTGAGGGAGATGAACACTACCTTCTACTTGGACATCACATTAGCATTTAGACAGTGCTTTCAGATCCTGTTAAGTCTCACTTAATCCTCACAGCAGGTCCGGGAGGAAAGACAGTGCTGACACCCCTCATTTCCTCTCCATTTGTTCAGTACCAAGCAGCCACAGAGGGCTTTCACTTATCCATGGTGTTGTCCTGGCAAGGAAAATGTACTCGTTCTTGAGAAAATATGTGGCTATAATAGTCACAGGTTCAAATTAGGAGGTGGGAAAATATGAAAGAAAAGCACTTTCTCTGTTGTTATGGTGAAGAAAATACAAGAAGTCTGTGGTTAAAATATATTTCAAAGGTCAACTTTTTCCCTTGCATTTCAGGACAGTCCTGAGAACACAGGGGGTGGGAAATAAGAGTAAAAATTAATTAATTTATATATATTAGTATACATAGGACAATATATTACACCAACACAAAAATTTTTAGACTTAAATTCCATCCTTGTTCCATTCTTGACAGGAAGATGAACCGATTTTGAAAAATTTCACGTAATCTATTTACTATCTTACACATAAACAGTATTCTCAGTGCTAAAAACTTACTTGACAGCAATCCTGCCCACCAGAGCCATTCCTTCAGGTAAGAATGTCCACCTTGTCCTAAAACGCAAAAAATAAAAATGAACAAAATTTGGGTTCTACACTGGAGGAAGGTTTGAAGAATTTACTTCTAGAAAATGTACTGGATTATGGTTAGAAAAGTTAAGTCAGTAACTCTAAAGTCTTTTAGCTTATTTACTTGGTCATTTCCAAACCTTTTTTTCCCTCAATTTACAATGATTTAACAAATCCCCTAATGGATTAATTGCATTTAGATTTTTTTCCATGTTTCTCTTACAAATAGACTGCTCTCAGGAATCTCCCTGCACATACATCTTTGCAACACCGAAGTGATTACTTCTCCAGAATAAATTCCTAGACGTACAATTGTTGGGTAGGAGAAAATGTGTTTTTTAAAGAGCTTTACATATATTACCAAACTGCCCTGCAGAAAAGTTATGTCAATTTTTTTTAAAAAACTGCACATTTGATAGTCTTAAAATGATATGTCAATTCAATCTGCATTTTTCTATGTTTGTTGCTCATTTATTTCTTCTTTTATGAATCAGAAGTTCATTTTTAATTTTTTTTTCCTCCTGATTTAAAAAATAGATTTAGGGGTCCAAGTACAGTTGTGTTACATGAATCTGCTGTAAAGTCTGGGCGTTAGTCTATCTATCACCTGAATAGTGAACAGTGAACCCAACAGGTAGTATTTCATCCCTCACCTGCTTCCTCCCTTTTACCCTCCCACCTTTTAGAATCTCCAGTGTCCATTATTCTACTTTGAAAGTCCACATGTACTCACTGTTTAGCTCCCACTTATAAGTGAAAACATGCAGTTTTTGGATTTCTGTCTCTGAGTCACTGCACTTAGGATATGGCTGCCAATTCTGTCCATGTTGCTGCAAAGGACATGATTTCATTTTTCTAATGGCTAAGTAGTATTCTATGGTGTGTGTCTATAATTATACCACATTTTCTTTATCCAGTCCTCTGCTGATGGGCACACAAGTTGATTTCATGACGCTTTTGTGAATAGTGGTGTGATAAACATATGAGTGTAGTGTCTTTTTAATAAATGATTTCTTTTCCTTAGATACCCAGGAGTGGGACTGCTGCATTGAAGGGTAGTTCTACTTTTAGTTCTCTGAGCGATCTCCATATTGTTTTCCGTAGTGGTTGTACTAATTTACATCCCCACCAACAGAGTATAAGCATTCCCTTTTCTCTGTATTCTTGCCAACATTGGTTGTTGTTTGACTTTTAATAATAGCTATTCTGACTGGGGTAAGATGGTATCTCATTGTGGCTTTAATTTTCATTTCTCTGGTGATTAGTGACATTGAATATATTTTTAATATATTTGTTGGTTAATTGCATGTCTTCTTTTGAAAAATGCCTGTTCATATACTTCACCCACTTTTTCATGGAGTTGTTTTTTTCTTGTAGAGTTGTCTGAGTTTCTTGTAGATTCTGGATATTAGACCTTTGTCAGATGCTTAGCTTGAAAATAATTTTTCCCATTCTGCAGGCTAGCTTTTTACCCTGTTGATTATTTTTCTTGCTCTGCAGAAGCTTTTTAGTTTAATAAAGTCACATTTGTCTATTTTTGTTTTTGTTGCATTTCCTTTTGAGGACTTAGTCATAAATTCCTTGCCTAGGCCAATGTCCAGAAAGAGTTTTTCCTAGATTTTCTTCTAGGGTTTTTACAGTTTCAGGCTTTACATTTAAGCCTTTAATTCGTCTTAAGTAGATTTTTGTGTATGGTCAGAGATAAGGTCCAGTTTCATTCTTCTATACATGGTTCTACAATTTTCCTTGAACCATTTGTTGAATAGGGTAGGCTTTCCCTAGTGTATGTTATTTTCAACTTTGTCAAAGATCAGTTGGTTGTAGGTATGTGGCTTTATTTCTAGGTTCTCTATTCTGTTCCACTGATCTATGTGTATATTTTATACCAAAACCATGCTGTTTTGGTTGTGATAGCTTTGTAGTATAATTTGAAGATACTGTGATACCTCCGGCTTTGTCCTTTTAAATTAGGATTGCTTAAAACTTTCTATATTATGTTGCCATGTCACCTTTGTTTTTCCACAAAAGGTAAGTTTTTCTTAATTTGTAGGAAATTTTATTTAATCATCAAGTTCACTGTATTTATGTCAGTCAGAGGTATGGACATAAATACTTCATTTTTACTATGGTTAAAATTACAAACAGAAAATATAAATAGTAAGTTACATTGTCACTAGTGAGGACTGTAAAGGGAAGAAGATGGTTGACATAAGAGCTTTTGAGATTTTGGATTAGTCAGTGAGAGAATAACAAGCATCAGGCAGATGCACTCTGCTGATTCTCTACCTTGGCATGCTGAAATGAAGTTTCTATCTAGTTTACTGAAAAAGACAAAATGCTTTAAAGCTATTCAAAAAGTTATCTTCCTAATACTCTAATCTGTGACTTTATGTCATTATATTTACTACAGAAAATGGAGTTTTCTTACCAATTTTAATATACTCAGCTCTCTGAATTTGACCTAATTGATTTTGTTATAAACAGGATATATAAACTATGAAGATTATTTTGCAAAGTAGTTAGCTGTGCTTATTTGGGATTTTCTCCTTAAGAAATTTGCAAATAACTAAGCTGGAATTCTGCTACAACACTAGACCTGACTATTGTCTAGTTGGTATCTCTAGTGAAACAATATTTACTTATGCATATTTATTGGTCATTTGCATTTCTTATTTTGTTAGTTTCTCCTTTATATGCTATGTCTATTTTCTGTTAGGGTACTAATCTTTTTCTTATTGACTGCAGTCACTTTTCAAATATTATGAAACTTAACTATACTTTGTCACATATTTCATCATATTCCCCTCAATATATCATTTGCTTTTTAGTTTCAGTTAAAGTGTTTCCATATAGAATGTTTGTCAATCTAGATACTTTCTTTCTTTATATAAAATAAATTCTTCCTTTATTTTTATGCTTAGAAAAACCTTTTTTCTTTTAATAATTATTTCATTTTAAAATTAAACCTAACCTATCTGGAATGTATTTTGCTGAATGGTATCAAGTAGAACTTCCATGTTTTTCTCCTCTAATTTTTCCCAATTGTCTCAATACTTTGAATGATTTGTCCTTTCTCCACAGGTTTGAAATGCCACTTTTTAAAATAACAAATTCAGTTGTTATATATACTTGGGTCTGCTTATAAGTTTTAAATTATCTTTGATTTTGTCTGCTTTAATGCCAGTATCAAATTGTTTTAACAGAGCACATATGTTTTCTTTTCTGATAGTATAAATCTCATCTCATGGTACTCTTTTATAAACTTGCTTGCGTGATTGGTAGTCATTGATTTTTTTTTCCATATGGATGTTAGAAAAATACTTAGGTCTTACTCTGGTTTCTCTTCTGATCCCATAAATCTTTTGCCTTTTACCAAAGATTCCCATGGAGAAAAATACTTACGTCTTTATTATTCTTGAAGAAAATGAAAACTCATGGTTAATGAAGGGATAGTCTGGCAGACCTTCTCAGCATCTTAAGTGTCACTATAAATAGCAGCCTAATTCTATTGTTATCCATTTATTGATTTAATAAATGTCTATTAGGTGCCAAACACTGCTAGGGAAGGTTCCTGTTTTTGAGAATCTACTATCAATAAGCAAGTAAACCTATCAGCAACAATAAAGAATACATGTACCACTAAAAATGATCCTAGGTATGGTGAGGCAAACTATTAGTGCAGTGACAGAGAATAACGGAGTCGGGTGGGGAGACCTACTGTGAGAGGATGGTCAAGGAAGGCCTTTCTGGGGTGATGCTACTCACACTGAAGTCTGAAGGATGAGTCAGCCGAATGAAGGGCAGGGAGAAGAGTTCCAGGCAATGTGAAAAGACCTTGGGATGGGAAAGAACCAGACCTATTCCAGGAACAAGAGAAAAGTAGATGAGGAGGAGAAAAGCAGAAGAGGAAGTTGGAAAGGTGGCAGAGATCAGGGACTGGAAGACACAGCCAACTCCATCAAGAAGACAGGGACTAAGATAAACGGAGGCAGTGAGTTATTATTACTGTAGCATTGTGGCCTTACAACAGGATGATTTCTGCAGTTAGAGACTTGAATTCACTAGTTGCATGTGCTTCTTACCAGCTCTAGTAACGCCCTTGCTGGCCAGTTGCAAGAGGCCCTTCTTTTTCAATATGAAGCTGGCGCCAATAAAAATACTGGAGCTTACTGCCAGTACCAAGCCCATATAAAGACTGTATTTGTTTTCTACGTTTGCTGAAATGCTCAGGTTGGTTATGCTGGAATTCAGGTCCGTGTAGAGCATAGGAGAAGCCAGCAGCTGTGACACATTCGTGATCTCACACCAAGCCTGGGAGGAGGAGTTTGGACAGACCAGAGACAGCACATATCCTGGACAAAAGGAAAGAAGAAAACGTCAGGAACGAAAGGGAGAGGTATTAATGCTTGTTGGTTTTCTGCAGCGAACAGAGCCTTGAGTGGAAGGTACTGAAACATTTTATTACATGCAAAGAAGTCCCTAATAGGTGGCCCACAGGCCTATAGACATTGCTAATTTGGCTAGCACTGGTTTTTAAAAATGATTTTAAAGTGTTTAGCTGTCATCATTTAAAAAAGAACAATTTCACATGAAAGTCTGGATTCCTCCTATAAATTCGATCTGGCAAACCTTGTGTCTTTGTTCTGGTGAATCAGCAACTTGATGGAGCCGCAAATAACTGTTCTGACCTGGCTGGTGCTGAACAGTTCATCACAGCCCGTCACATCCACTTCACTCTGCATTATCAGCGTGGCTACTGGAAAGCAGGGCTTGTGAGGCCTGAACGTAGGGAGAAGGCATAGCAACCTCAGTCTAGGAATCACACTGCAAGAAATCTGTTGGCTGGGTGTGGTAGCTCACACCTATAATCCCAGCATTTTGGGAGGCCAAGGTACATGGATCACCTGAGGTCAGGAGTTCGAGACCAGCCTGTCCAACATGGTGAGACCCCATCTCTACTGAAAATACAAAAATTAACGGGGCATGGGCATGATGGTGTGCATCTGTAGTTCCAGCTACTCTGGAGGCTGAAGCAGGAGAATCACTTGAACCTGGGAGGTGGCTGCAGTGAACTGAGATAACACCACTGCACTCCAGCCTGGGTGAGAGAACGAGACTCTGTCTTAAAAAAAAAAAAGAAAAAAAAAAAAAGAAACCTGTCTAACTCTTGTAGGGTATGAGTCATTTGGTAGGTGTGAAGAATTATATATTTGAGAAAACATGTTTTAAAAGTGGGTTTAGTTTTCTGTACCACTTTCCCTGATTTTTCAGGTTTATTAATTCACTTTTTCCTAAAGAAAATAGAATCTAATAAAAAAATGAATTAAATATCATTAGGCTTTTTAAAGGATAAGATTAAAAGAAGCATGTAAATCCCCTGAACCAGATGCATTATTATAAACATCTTGGAATTTTGAGGCTAAACACTAAAACACAAAATGAAAATGTTTTACTATGTTATTAATGAAAACTATGTAAGTTTTATAGTTAATGAAAACTATGTAAGAAACTATGTAAGATACAATTTTGGAATTCAATTTTTAGAAAAGGTTTACATTTCAAAAATCTTAAGAAGGCATATAAGCAACAAAAGACAGTTTGATCAAATGATGTCTCAGTAGCAAGATTTCCATAAGTGGACCTATGCACCTCTGGCAAAGCTTCATGCAGCCACCTGAATTTTACTACATTCAAATTTAAGAAACACTCACGAAGTTCAGGTCTGGAAAATAATAAAATAACATAATTCAAGGTTTTCATGAATTTTATTTCATTTATCTCTGTAATTTGAAAATGACCCAACTTTGTTTCAGAAATCCAGAATACCTGGACATGGTGGCTCACCCCTGTAATCCCAGCACTTAGGGAGGCAGAGGCTGGAGGATCGCTTGAGCACTGGAGTTTAAGACCAGCCTGTGCAATATAGTGAGACCTCCATAAACAGGAAAAAACAAACATAGAAACAGAACTCCAGAATAAACTCAAAGTCAGAACAAAATATTCTAAGGACAATTATATTACTTCAGGGTATTCTATAATACTGGAGAATTTTCAGGCTGGCTGTTTTAATAAGAACTGTTGCAAATTTTCTTTTCTTTTTTTCTGAGACAGGGTCTCACTCTGTCACCCAGGCTGTAGTGCAGTGGTGCTATCATGACTCAGACCTCCTGGGTTTAAATAATCTTCCCACCTCAGCCTCCCAAGTAGCTGGAACAATAGGCATACACCACCATGCCCAGCTAATTTTTAAAATTTTTTATAGAGATGGGATCTCACTATGTTGGCCAGGCTGATGCAAATTTTCAAACAAGTCGGCCCTTAGCAAGCTTGTTCCAAACAATGTTTATCTCATCTAAGCCTCAAGAATGAAAAGTGATTAAGTATATTTTTGTAAGAATTTTGATTACATTCATTCCTGAGAAAACACTGAACCTGACTTACTAGTAAATTCCATGGCTGCATTCATGTAATTTGCTATGCAGTTAACATAACCATTCCAAAACTTCATCTCTGAAATCAGTGTGGGTGGATCTCATTCCAGTGAAACAATATTCCTTCTAAGCTGTTGACATAGCACAATGATTCTGACATTGTAGGGGGTGTGGGAGCAGAAGTTGATAAGGGAGAGCAAATGATCACTGTTGGATTTTGCAAGTTCTCATTGTAACTGGCAGGCATGAATGCTCCAAGTTTTATGGCAGGAAAAATAATAAAAATCGTGTCTGGCTACTGACCTTAGAACTTAAATTGTTTTATGCTTTGGGAACATGTTAGGGAGAGAGCCTGTGGCAGATATGACTGAAAGAGGAAACAAAGGATGGGTTAGTGGGTGTGGAGTGACCTACAGAAGAAGGGGAGAGATGGGTAATGGAGGGTGTGTGGGCAGGGAATTTGGAGTGTTTTAAAGGAATCAAAGCTATCTCAAGTCACAGTTGGCTTCTCAAGATTCAAGTAAGCACAGTAATTTTCCAGGGAGTTTAATACAGACTTTATCCCACAGAAAGAGAACATCTACTACATTCATTATTTTTCAATTTAATAGACACTATCAAGAGTCCTTTAAAGTGACTATACCAATGGATACTCTTGCCAGCCAGGAACATGTCTTTCTTATTTGATGTTATTTTTCTTTTCTTTTTTTTTTTTTTTTTGAGACAGAGTTTCGCTCTTGTTACCCAGGCTGGAGTGCAATGGCACGATCTCGGCTCACCGCAACCTCCGCCTCCTGGGTTCAGGCAATTCTGCTGCCTCAGCCTTCCTGAGTAGCTGGGATTACAGGCACGCGCCACCATGCCCAGCTAATTTTTGTATTTTTAGTAGAGACGGGGTTTCACCATGTTGACCAGGTTGGTCTCGATCTCTCGACCTTGTGATCCACCTGCCTCGGCCTCCCAAAGTGCTGGGATTACAGGCTTGAGCCACCGCACCCGGCTTTATTTTTCTAAATAAAGTAATGAATATTTAGGAAACATATGTTTCATATATATATATATGTTATATATATTATATATTTCTTAAATTGGCTGGTTGATACATTGGTGTATATATTACACTGGTATATATACATACACATTGGCATATATATAGATATATATGTGTATATATGTATGTATATCTATACATATATATCTATATACATCATATATAGATATATATGTATATACATATATATATACACACCAATGTATCTATATATATCTATATACATACCATATTGTGTGTATATAGATATATATATACATATATATCTATACACACACACACACACACACACACACACACACACACACACACACCAATGTATCGGCCAGCCAATTTAAGAAATAAACATCACCCCTCAGAGTTAACAAGTATCCTGATTTTCTCTTTAACATTCTTTTGCTTAAAAAAATGATTTTCTCCATGTATCTTTAAATGTTTTGCCTCTTTTTGTACCTATGAAAATGTAATGATAAAGTATTTCTTTGGTGACTTGCTTGTTTTTGAGTTTCATCAAAACATGATGCATGTGGCTGCAGGGTTTGTTTGCCCCCCACTGTTCTAGAGAATTCCACTGTATAACTATCACTCAACTAATTTTTCTGTTTTATACTTGGTCGATAGTTAAGTAGTACTCCTAATGTTCTTATATTATGTTGAACTATATGAAATTGATGATAACTGAAAAATTTCAACCCTATGACAAGCAGTTTCATATGGTTCAACCTAATACTTATCTTCTATGTACAGGTGTAATAGTTTACATACATACACCTTTAAAATTTAAAAATGAAGATCTATTATCTATAATCATGGGCAAGCTGAGTAATGGCTCTTGGTTTCAGTTTCCTCATCGGTAAAATAAGGGACTTTGACTCAATGATTCTAAAGTTTAATCATAACCTGTCTTTGTTCTCAGAATTACTTACAATACTAGTGTCTCATGAATGTTCTTGATGGACCAGTTCTGAACTCACAGGCACTGAGAGATAGGAGACATTTTAAAGTAACTGATGCCAATATATTAAGTGACACTGACCAAAGTTATGTAACTGCTAAAACCAGGACCAAGTAACCCAATTCCCAGCCAGCATTCTATTTCAGAAAACCATATAAAGCATAAGAAAAGCCAGTTGAAATATATCATTAACGTTTAGATATGGATGAAATGCTTTAAATAATTTGTCAACTATTTGCCTATAGAGAATAATAATATAAATTTAAATAATAATCTAAATTGTCCAGTTTATTACATGGAAGAGAATTCTGGTTTTAAGAAAGTGTTTGCATAGAATTACATTTTCAATCACTGCAAGATATTTCCAGTTGGGGGGGAGGTCTCACCATCTATTCTACTGTGATAGTTTAGATTATTATTCATTCAGTATTCAGCCCCTTACCCTTCCCAGTGTGGGCAAAGGTACTTCACCTGATGTTGGGCTGGAAGTAATTTGGTGGTCAATGGGATGTCAGCAGAGGTGATATGAAACTATATTTCAAAAATGCTTATGTGGTTGGGTTTACTCATTTGCATCTCTGTAATTCCCTGAGGAACTGCTGTCCCTTCAACCTCAGGACCCAAATGGACACGTGGAGCAGATGGGACCTCATCCCACACAAAGGAGCCAAACCCAGGTGGACGTGTAGCCTGAAGCAGATATACATAGGTGAGCCCCATCTAGATCAGTCAACCTTCAGTTGACCTAGAAACCGAAACAAGAATATATGATATATTGGCCTGTTCTTAGTAGCAGAGGAATAACTGAAGGAAATATCTTTATGTCTGTTACAATTTATTCTCTGAACACTGACCAGTAGGGACCAGGTTATATCACTCCCTGGCTTAATCCTCCCTGTCCCCTCTATGGTTTTTCATTTCAACTTATGAAAAAACCTCAATCCTCACTAACTTTGAACTTTGAAAGCTTCCTTCCCATACTCTGAAACTGGCTTGTTTCTGACATCATATTGCATTACTCTCCCTCTCACCCCTCTCTGAAATACTAATTTTCTTTTCTTCATTCAACAAATATGTATTACGTACTACCTGTGTCACTCCAGGCAACCTGGCTGATGGCAGTTTCTTCAGCCCCTCAGGGTTTCTGCTTTTAGACTTAGCAGAAAGGCTCTTTTGTTTAATCCTGTTTGAAAAAATATTTCCTTTGATGCTGCTTTTATTACTTGCCATGGCACTCTTAACATATGTATAGTTGTTTGTTTGATTATCCTATCTGCCCTCACTGGACTATAAGAGTCTCCAGCTGTCTAACCTCATTCCCTACTATTGCCTTTTCTTCTGTTCCTTTCTCACCTTAAGCTTTTATAAAAGCAGCCTTCCTGACCCTTTTACAGCATGCTGGCTGGCATAGCTAGCTTCTTCGCATTTAAGTGAGAGGACTGAGCAACTCAGAGAGGCCTTTCCTGCCTTCCCAATCTCAAGGAACCTCTTAGTCACTTTCCATCACATCACCTTATTTAATGTTCCCAATCAAATAGACTGTCTCATACTTCATTACACCTTCATAACAAACTTCGTACATGTTTGAATTTGTTTCTTTTAAAGATCATTTTGGATTAGAGACTCTTTTGAAGCATCTATAGCTTTAAAAGTCAAAACCAATGCCAGGTGGGTGGCTCATGCCTGTAAACCCAGCACTTTGGGAGGCCATGGTGGGAGGATCACTTGAAGTCAGGAGTTCAAGACAAGTCTTGTCAACACAGTGAAACCCCTTCTCTATTAAAAATACAAAAACTAGCTGCGCATGGTGGTGCATGCCTGTAGTCCCAGCTACTCAGGAGGGTGAGGCAGGAGAATCACTTGAACCTGGGAGGTGGAGGTTGGAGTGAGCCAAGATTGCACCACTGCACTGCTATCCTGGGTGATGGAGCGGGACTCCACGTCAAAAAAAAAAAAAAAAAAAAAAAAAATCAAAATCAAAGTATGAAATTAACTTTTTCTTTGTGGAAGTTTAACTAGAAAGCTCTATCTTCAGATCTCATGACTGACCCCTTGTCATTTGAGTCTCAGCTTTAATATCACTTTCTTAAGGGGTTTTCATTGAATACCCAGTCTAAACCTTCCTACACTCTCAATACATTACTGCTATTATAATGACCTTTTAAATTACTTTCTTTCTTGCATAGTAGCTGCCATCTGAACAGTAAGGTGCATGAGAGTAAAACCTAGTCCTAGCGTCTAGGTCCAGACTGTCTTGCAAATCCCTCTATCCTAGCACCTATCCTAGTGCTCGGCATATGGGACTCTTGTTATTTGAATGAACAAGTGAAAAATTGAGTCTGTTTACTCCACGTCAAGCTCTGAGTAATGTACTTCATGTGTAACCCCACCTGCACCTACTCTTCACAACTGTAAACTGGAGGGATGAGCCCCAGTTTATAGACAGGCTCAAGGCTCAAGGAAGCTAAGTTACAGCTCAGACTGTCTGATGCCAAAGCCTAATCCCTTCCCACTACTAATAAAGTACATTCAGATTTCTAAGTCTTTCTCCACCAGCTTTCCACACAATTAATTACCATGGTTAATCATAGGTGTTAAGCCTGGAGCTTAAATGTTTCTTGTTGGAACTAAATGCATGAGCAAAGCAGGAAAAACACCCGGAAGCTCAAACAAGTGAGTATAATTAATACACCCTCCTTACTTACAGATCCTTAGGTAAACAAAGGTGGGTGTGTCAGTAACCGTCTGATTTGCTGGTTCAGAAAATATTTAGAAAAAGGGCACACAACCTGACTCTCTAGGAAATAACTCTAGATTCAGCTGCCTTAATTTTTTTTGCTTTTTAAAATAGTTTGTTATTTGTTAAGGCACTTTCTTTTTTAAGAAAAAAGAGACAAGGAAATAATTCTAGATCCTGCTGCCTTTAATTTTTTTTAAATAGTTGGTGAGTTTTTCAGGCATTTTTGTTCTTTTTGAGAAAAAAAGACTAGAAAATAATTCTAGATCCAGCTGCGTAGATGGACATTGACAGAAGCTACATTAAAAAAAAAATAGTTTATTACTTGTTCAGGCATTTCTCCTTTTTTTGGTGTCCCTTCTCTTACTTGTTAGCATAGTTTCGACGAACTCACTTGTCAAAAAGGAATAATCTGGAAGAGCCTCTCCCCATCAAGGAATAAACTGGAAGAGCCAAGAGGAGAGGAAAACAGGGAACTTGTGAGCACCTTTGCAAAGATGTGTACATATATACATATCTATATATGTAAGAGGACTATTTACATGTATGTGTGTCTTACCATGCCATGCACTGCCTCCCTTTCCCTTTGCTGCATTACCAGGTAAATTAAAAAGCTGCTTTCCCCTTGGCACGGTGAAAACCATCATTTCAATGGATCTACACCCTTCTGGTCGCTCCCCTTACCCGATTCCCTAGTTTCATCGGGGCCTTCTGTATGGAGAATGAGAAAGCCCCCCAGTGTTTGAACTGGTGAGCTTTCTGTAGGTCACAGCTGAAGGGCAAGGAGCCTCGCCCAGAGATTTCACAGGGCTCAGGAGGGAGCTGAGATCCCATCCCAGGAAGCAGTGAGAAGAGCCTGCCAAGGAGTGCTCCCGGATCCTGATTTCCTCTCCAGCAGGGCTCTCGCCTTAAGCAGCCAAAGTGACTGTACAGCGAGTCAGACTGGCTCGTGGGGTTGGAGACGCTGTCACCTCCAACGAAAAGAGACGTGGACGGCCCAGACTTGCCCAGCACCAACCCCCGCGGCCCTGGGCGCTCGACCTCTCGCGGGGCTCGATTCCCGGGAGCCAGCGCAGGACTCCCACGTCCCCCGACTCCCGAGGCAGACACGCCGTCTGCCCACCGGGTGACTTCGGCCGCGGACTCTGGAAGTGAGCCTGAGTCAGAGGAAACGTCCTTCTCAGAGGGACTCGGGATTCTTCCCACAGCATCCCGAGTTTCCTCGTCCCACACGCAGCACACTGTACTTGACACGGGTCGGCCTAGCGAATCGAGTGGGAGTCCCATCTGCTGTATTCCAGCACAGCCCGAACCGCCTAGGCACCCGCGAATGAGGGCTGAACGCCTGGCTGGGCGGCCGGCGGCCTGAATGAATGAATGACTGAGTGAACGACCACGTTCAGAGTCGGCACATCCCCCCTTTCCAGTCTCCGCAAGTCTCCGGTCCCGCCCACCCGGTCTTTTCGCCACCCAGACGCCAGGTCCCTCGGCTCAGGGCAGACACAAACCTTCTCGGCAGGGCTCTCCGGGAGGCAGCCTCACCTGTGCCCCCATGGCCCGGGACGGGGGTTCCCGAACGCGGGCGCCGGCTCCTCACCTGGGCCTCTCCTCCCGGCGGGCCCGCTGCGGGTGGGGCTGCGGGGTCCGGGAAGGGGCGCCTTGACCCCGCCCTCGGGGCAGCCTCCGCCAATGGCTTTGGCCAGGCGGGGCCTCAGCGCGGGGCGCGGCCCAGGGGTGCTTAGGCGCTTTCAGCGCTCCGGCGGGCCTGGGGGCGGCCCAGGGTAACTCGTGTTTCTGGCGGGAGGAGCAGCTGCCCCTTCGCGCGGCGGCTGGAGGAACTAGAGAAGCACAGACACGCCTCACAGGCCGACGGCGTCTCTCGGAGCGTGGAGTCCGCCAAGGCGACTCCGGGAATTGAGTGGCGCCGAGGCTGAGCCGAGGCCCCCTCCTGGCTCCTCTCGGGTCAAAAACTCTCCCGCGCTAGATTGTCAGAGCCCTGCTGCTTTGGGAAGCCTTCCGATGTTAGTGGCTTTGTGCGGAAGCTGCTGACTGCTGGGGTTCTGCGCCGATTGCTACACTCGTTTATTTTGGGGGCTGCAGAGCAGACTTTGCCCTACTGTGCTGTTACCAACTTCTGTCGCTGTCAGTCTACGCCCCCTACGTCCACTCCCCAGTCGGTCTCCAATCAGCAAGCAGCTCCTCCTACGCTGTCCAATTACCTGGGTCATGGAGATATTTGAAATAAACCTTTAAGAGAAAAGCAATCCGTAACTGGAAAGACCTAGTCCCACAAATTATTAATAACTAATATTTATGATATCCTTGCTATATCACACATATGCAGGCACATTATGTCTTAATTAAATCTCACAGCAGTGTATTACCGCTCAGTTTACAGATACGGGATTAGAGACAAAAGAGTGAGGTTAAGTAACCTAACCAAGGTTGGAAGACTCGATAGTAAGTATTTATGCAACCGGGAGTGGGCAGGGCTGGGGGAGGTGGCTCACTCATGTAATCACAGCACTTTCCGAGGCCGAGACTAGTAGCTCGCTTGAGTCCAGGAGTTCGAGACTAGCCTGGGCATCATGGTGAAACCCTGTCTCTACAAAAATTAGCCAGGTGTGGTGGTACTCTGCTGTAGTCCCAGCTACTTGGGAGGCTGAGGTGGGAGGACAGATGGCTTGAGCCCAGTAGGCGGAGGCTACTGAGTGTGACCATGTCTCAAGAAAAAAAAAAAAAAAAAGGCAGTGGCGGGGTTGGGGAACAATTCGGGCTCAAACCCTCACCAGAGAGAACTAGGGTACCTTTGTGTTCTGGCATTTTAACGCTAAGGAAAATACTCTCACATACTCAGGTAGCCTTTGTTCTAGGTAGGCATGAACAGTGCTATTAATTTTATTACCTAAGAGTTTCATAGCAGAGGCCCCAATCTTGCTTTTCTTGTTCTTAGACTGATGAGAGAAGAGCTAAGCACAAATTAGTCAACATACCAATCCAAGGCACACACTTGTAATACATGTGGTTGACTTTGCAAAGAAGGAACACCATGGAGAGTGGAATAGGTGAAAGTGAAAGGGAGGCAGATTTATGTCAATTTTCCATAACAAGGCTTAAACCTTAGACTTCTACTTAAACGTTTTCTTTGGATTTCCTGCTTAAAATTTTGTCTTTATCAAAGATTGGTAATGATAGTAAACGTGATCTAAGTTGCTTATATTTTATTTAACAAACACTTGTATAGCATGTGGCAAGCACTTTTCTAAGATCTTTATAAATGTTTGCTTTGTAAACCTTCATGAAAATCCTGCAAGGTAGATACTATTACCCCCACTTTACAGCTGAGGAAATGGAGGCACGCAGAGATTAAGTAACTGGATTATGCACACACAGCCAGTAAGTGTGGAACCCAGATGCCAACCAAGAAAGTCAGGCTCCAAGTATGTGTTCTTAACCCATTTGGTAATTGGACATTAATAAACAAAAAACAGACTTTAAAAAATGTATCTTATTGAATTCCAGTTGCATATTAAGGCCTATTTTAGGTAAGAGGCATTTTATTGTAGTTCTTGCTTTACAATTCTGAAAATAAAAACATTTAGAAAAAAATATTTAAACTCATTTAAGATCACTGTTTTTCCAGTTTAAATGTTGTCTAGCAGAAATTTATAATGTATTTTCCTTTACCAACAGTTTCTAGATTACTTTGGAGATTACAGTTATAGTACCACAGACTATCTTGAGTGACATAAATTTGGGGGATATTTATTCCCCCCCAAAAGCATGTTGTTTGTTTAAATAAAAGAAGAGCATTTAAAAAAAAATCAACTACCCCATTCTTTGATTCTAGGAAAATTCCTCTTCTGACTCAAAAATTAGAATGAAATTCTAATGAATCTAATTGAATGAATCCCTCTAAAATGCCAACTCCTGTTTTATTGGTCTTTGTGCTAGGACACGTTGACCCAGGGGTGATGGTCAAAATAAATAATGATAAGATCAGAAGAGCCTTAGAACCTCAAGGCACAAGGCCACAGGTCTTTTGAGCTTGAGTATGTCTTGGGAGGTTTCCTGCTGTGTAAAGGTTAACCCCTCAGTTGCTACATTGTGGGGAGGTCTGTGGTTTCTGGGGTAATGGATAAGACAATCAGACAAGATGGGTGGTAGCTGGGAAGTTAAAACCACGTTTGCAAAAATCATAGCACTGAAAAAATTTTAACAGTAAGCTGAGCTAATTCATCCTCCATCTTGCCTTTCCCTTAATTATTCCTGGGTTATTGGGCTGTGAAAGGAAAATAAATCTTGGAGCCCCCAAATCACTAAGGTAAAGGGAAAAGTGAAGCTAGGAACTTCTTAGAGCCAACCTGCCTCCCATTCTATTCAAAGTCACCCCTCTATTCACTGAAATAAATGCATATCTGATTGCCTCTTTGGAGTGGCTAATCAATCAGAAACTCAAAAGAATTCAACCATTTGTCTCTTATCTACCTATGACCTGGAAAGCCCCCTCCCTGTTTCCAGTATTTCTGCCTTTGCTTTGAGTTGTCCCACCTTTCCAGACAGAACCAATATTTATCTTGCATATGTTGACCGATGTCTTATGTGTCCCTATAACGTATAAAGCCAAACTGTGTTCTGATCACCTTGGGCATATGTCATCAGGAACTCCTGAGGCTGTATCATGGATGTGTGACCTCAACCTTGGCAAAATAAACTTTGTAAATTAACTAAGACCTCTCTCAAATTTTCAAGGTTTACATTTTGGTAACCACAGAGGGATTCTGAGTGGAGATGCCCCTGACTTTTGACAAATCTCCTATCAGTGCTTGGTATCAGCATGGGCTAATTTTATGGCTCAAACCAATAGGACAATTTGCTAAGATTTGAGAGCACCCTGATGCTATGAGAGAGAGAGAGAAGGGATGCTCAGCACCCCTGATGCTCTTAGATAATCCCTGAGTTCCCAAAAGTTAGTCAAGATCTAAAGTTTATTTTGCTGTACACCTCCTCTTTTTTGGAGTTTTACTTGTTTCCATCAAGGAAAGCAAGAGTTCCTGTTTCCATGACATTGGAAGGCAGGTAACTGCTTTATGGAGTTTGGCTCACTTCCAAAAGGGAAGAAGAGTTTTTTTCCCCCTGTTTCTAGGATGGTAAAGAGCAGTGTACAGCCTGAGACTCATCCCTAGGTAAGTACCTGAATTGGTTAAAGTTAAGATTAACAACCAACTGGTCTTAATTTCTCCTTACCATTAGAGCATTCAGTGATCATATAAATAGTGCCATTGTTTGTTTTGCTTAAATTTTTTTTTGTTGTTGTTGTTTGCCTCTGTTTTTATTGTTGTCTTGGTCTTTTTCCCACTGGGTTTGATCAGCACTATCCAACTTGATCAAATCTAAAGGAAAGTTGCAGATTATGGGGGAAGAAAGCGGCTAAATTCTCAAAAAAAAAAAAAAAGAGGAAAGATTTTTGATTTTGACTACTAAAGGGGCTTTATTTCCATAATGCAACATTTTTGTTAGTTAGGCATCTATGACATCAGAATAGATGAAAAACTTTCAGGACTCATGGAGAGCTGAAATGTTCATGAATATCAAGCAGAACAGGAATTAACAGCATGTACTAAACTAATAGAAGTCCAAAGTAATCTTTTTAATGTTTTGCTTAAAATGTTGCTGATCCTTTGTTTTGTTTTTCAAAGTCAAGAAAACTTTCAAGCTATTTACAGCTTTTAACAATTAGGTATACCCCTATGAATAAAATTCAGAGCATATTTGTTTCCCTGTACCTGCTTTCTACAGAATTTGGAAACTATTTGTGAGTATTCTTAACTTACGACAATACAGTTATTTGCATAAGTGCAATAAGAATGTGTTTTCATTTTTAACAGGACACAATTGGAGAAATTAGTTAGTTTACCAGAGCTTTTACTGGAATGGTGTGCTTTACTTTAAGGAATAAAACTTGACTTATGGAACCAATACAAGCCCCTTGGGAAAACTGGCCTCATACCTGTGTCTACCCAGCCCCTGTATAAGGTTCCTGACCTGTGTTAAGTAAAGAATGTCACTTTCTGATAGACTCAGGAGCCCCAAGTTTATCTTGGACCCTCAAGAGGACAGGAATTCACCCAACTCATATGTATTTGATGATACAAATCCATGTCTAGACTTGACTTTTAAAAAATCCTATCTGAGATTTCTTCTATGGAATAAAGTTCCATCAAAGCCAACCTAAAAGCCCATATAAAAAAAAAAACCCAATTATTCTTGTTGCACCGTAAACAAATAATCAGGCCAAGTATGGTAAAGCAAATTAGTCCTGCCAGATTTGTCTTTAGTAAAAATGGGAAACTGGAGGGAAAAAATTATGTTTCAAAAACTGTAGTACTCCTGTTCTTAGATTCCAGTCTTGTCTAATATTTTTCAATTTTTATTATTTTCTACAATTTGGATTGAATTCTAATTTTTCTTGGCTACAAGCCTTCAAAATAATGCTTTCAATTACTTTCCTTCTTTTTTCCTTCATTTTTCTTAATTTGGAGTCACTGAAAACTAAGCTGTGCTTTCAAAAAGCCCTGAGAACAGAAGCTAGACAACTTAAACTTCAAAAGAAAATAACAGCAACCTATTTACATACATAAGCCACTTTCATACCTCTCTCTTGATGTGTGGACTTCAGAGTAATGAGGCCTATATCAATTTTCCAGGATTGTTCTTTTGTTTGTTCTTGTTTTTTCCCTTCCTCCCCTAATTTTCTCTTCATAGGACATCAGACTTCACAATCCTCTAAAAACGAGCCCTCCTAAATGACTCGGGACCTACCCAACTAGTAATAAGCCATCCTAGCCATGAGAGATCAGACAAAACCTCAGACCAGAGACTCATTTTCTCCTAAAATGCTTTCCCCAAAGTACTTTTTAAAGAAAAGAGGGAAAATGTGAAAGGAAAATAAATCTTGGGGCTCTCAAATCACTAAGCTAAAGAAAAAGAGAAGTTGGAAACTGCTTAGGGCAAACCTACCTCCCATTCTATTCAAAGTCACACCT